AAATGTCCAAAGAATAGAATTAGTTACCTTGAAAGCTCCATTCAGGCAATTTAGAAAATTGTTTTGCTAATAACCCTAATGCATTGCTTGTGTAGCCAGGACTGTCAGCACTGCAGGTTACTACAGGTTAATCAGTAAATTGCTGATACCAGCTACAACCAGCCCTTAAGAAATCCAGTATCTCTTACGTCTTTGCTTCTATTTTCCTGACAACAATAAATTAGTCGCTATGCAACAYCAAATCAGCATCAAAGAATAAAAACTTAATACTGACAATTCTTAGCTGAGCACATAGACCAAATCAAGTGTGGTTAATGAATGCTTAGTTAATTCTTAGAAAGCTCTTCTTCATGCCGTTTATAGCAGAGTGAAATGCAAGTTCTTTTAGACAGGTTCACAGAGAGACATGCTTACACACACACACACATGCCCCACACATAGGTAGCCTACATACACACATATACAAATAGATAAATCCCAAATAGGAAACTTTGTAAGAGAAACAAGAAAAAAATTACCTACTGGTCTCTATAACACCAACAAGTGMACAGATTCTCTGGAAAAACTTCAGAACTGTCTGTTCAAATATTTTCTAAGATTATATTAGCAATCATTTTCACCAAAATATTTTTCTGACCAAAAAGAAAAAAGATGACTTSATAGAACCTAAAAATTGTTAAGAGTGGAAAATGCCTGCTTCAAGTTGCTTGTAAGAAAACAAATACAGGAATTGGCAACTTCTGTGCAGTTTTAGCTCCGAAGAAATTATGTCAGTCTTTTGCTTTAATAACTTATCTCAGGGCAGCCCATCAGATTAACAAGAAGAAGAAAAAGAAGTATTAAAACTTAGTGAGTTACTGGAATCTTCTGGAACTGAAAACTGTACAGATGGTCTGCAACATATTTGTATAGAAGATGCTCAATTGTTGATGGGTTCCCAACTATTATAGTGGCAGGGTAAGGAGGCAGATACTGGGCAGTGAGCACTGAGCAACTGTTGTCACTGAGCCTTCCCCTCTTGGCTGCATCCCCACTTGCCCAACGAGCAGTTTTGGTCTCCCAGAGCACAGACAAAGGTTGCTTTGGAGAAGCTGGGAAGCCTAAGAACACCATGTAGATTTAGGACTGGATAGGAGGTATTGTGCAGAGGCCATGCCCATTACTCATCCGCTGGCAACGGGCTCTCTTCCTTTTGTCTGGAAAGACGGTAAACTTTCAATGCCATCTGAAAACAGAAGGCCTTTCACAGAGTGCAAGAACTCTGCCATCTCAATCATGTGAAAATATTGTAAACACTTTCCCAGCCCCCATTCAGCTGTCCAAAAAGCAGAGCTAGAAAACACCAAACAAAACAGGAAGGAAAGAAAAGGGTGTGCATTGCGCATTTCGGTTTAATTTATATTTTTTGTTCTGAATAGGAATTTTGCTTGGAATTTTCTTCTTTTTTTTTCCTGAAAGTGAGTGAACAGGGTTAAGTAGCTATTATGGAGAAAAGGCAGTTAAAAGCCTATTCTGTGTTTTATTTAGAGGAGAAAAAAAAAAAAAACGGTCCAGTGTCCAGCAGAACAGCTCTCATATTTCCTTACAGCCCCTGCAAGAATAGATTTCAAATGTGCCACAGGACTTGAATTTCTCTTTCAGTGCTTAGTTTGACCCACTCCTATGAACTTTTTCCGGGTCTCCTCCCCAAACATTTAAATATCACAGGGGTTGTACTGCTGATATACCACAAAATGTATGGAGTGGGAAGGGGGCCCCATTCACAAAGTAGAACATGTTCAGAAAATACCTGCATGTGTGTGCACATATGTTTACATGTATATCAAACATACAACATATGCAAAAGTGTACGTGTTATTTGCACAAAATCCTTAAACTACTGTATTTGCCTGAAGACATCATTTACGTAGGTTGTGCTGGTGCACCATTCCCTTACCTCTGGGCAGTTGTTTCCACGGGTATTTTCAGCACATCATGTAGCTATGTAAAAGTGATGTAGTTCCTTGCTTAAAAATGTTTGTGTTCATTGCGCTGAAGTTAGGGACTCCTTGAAATTTCACAGTAACTTTGAACCATGGCAACACATTAACACCACAAATCTTCACTATTTGAAGTATGAGGTTTTCATTTACATTGGTCAACTTAACACCAGAGAAGGGCAAAGGAAAACAGCTCTGCAGGTGGGACATACACTTTGTTCAAAAATACAGTTTTGTTCAGTTTGGTCCCAAGTCAATTCTGAACAGAGCACAAATAGGTAAGCCTGGGTGTATTCCTACTCCCTCAAAGGCAAATGGTCTGCTTCTAACCTAGGAAAGGATCAGCTGTCAGTGACTTCCAGAGGGATATATCACTCCTATCCTATTTCTTATGAGTATTCAACCAATGGTACACCCTGATGGAARTCAGTCCCCACAGGGCAGTGAGAACCGACAGCTACAGGAGTACATCATGTGTTGGAGGCTCTTTTACGTGATTTCCCATCACACTCTGGCAATGCAATTTGCATAACTAAGAAGACTTCCTYACTCATATAGACTGATAGGAGTTTGTAGATCAGTTGTGTTACCCAAGAGCAAATGTAAAAATGCAAAACAAGTGATGCACAGTCCATGAACATTTAAGCATGTTCTCCTCTGTTCCCATCAGGTGTATCAAACTAGGCTGTGCTTTGACATCTCTTTGTATGCAGGTGTTCCTGAGCACAAGAAACAGAGATCTGGGATTTCACGCTCTTGGATGTTCCTCRGATCTCTCATGACGTTGATTTTGGTTTCTAAGGCATCTCACAACTTTCTGCTCTGKCTTCTGCCCCACAAGAGGAAAGACTCAGAAATGCCTTTCCCTGTGCCGGAGATGCAGTCCTTTATGCTTGGCAAAACCAGCAACTWCTTGCTAAGCTGACATTCCTGTTCCTGATTTAAGTAGATTCCAAGCACCATAATGCACAAAAATGCATGAGAAGCTATTACCAAGCAGTGCCAGATGTGGCACATTGGGAGGGCAGGCTTTCCTCACCATCTCTCCCTCAGTACACACATGATGCAGCAGTATGACCTCTTTGATTTAGAAGTTCAGCAATTGAATTCTGTCCTCCCCCAAAAAGGTGTGTTTTACCACGCTTTGATAGTCACTTGTTTTTTTTCTATGCACACCATGAGAACACGTGATCGTAGGTTAGAGATTAGGAAAAGTAGTTGCCAATAGCTGAAGCAGRGGTTGATAAACGACCCAACGTTATAAATTCCCAAATGCATTCCTCGGGACTGCCTTGCACATGCTGCCTCAATACTCCCATCCTCCCCTCTGCATTTTTATAAAAAGAAGCTGTAATAAATTAGAATTTTATGAGACTCCAAATAAAAACCTTCACTAAAATTGAAAACAAGACATGGATGTAGAAACATATGGAAGGTTTATGAGAGTAGAGGGAAAAAAAAATTATCCCAAGGCAATAAAAAACCTGTCTGACTCTTTCTTGGTCTTCACAAACCAAGAATTACTAGAGACAGATGAAGCAGTTTTGAACAATTCAGTACTGGTACATCTACCAGCAAAGAGACATTATAGTTTTTACTTATTCTTCTGATGCAAGGCAGCCTGGTAAGGATTACTCTAAGAAAGATTTTCTGAATTTCTGTATAAAATACTGTAAAGTTACATATGGAAATGAGATACCTTTCTGCTTTGATCCTTAGTATAAGGCTAACCAAGCAGAAGTGGCTTCCTACCCTTTCATACAGTTTTCTTTGGAACGAAACACTGCACCCTCTGAATCCTTGCACTAGTATTTTAAGTATTTTTTATGGGATAAAGGCAGTTTTKTTTAATTTATATTTTCATCTTTGTTCCAAACCTCAGACTGATTAATTCTGGCCACTGTATACACAGTTTTACTCCTAATCTATTTGTTTCCCCCCCACTACTTCTCCATCCTCAATACTCCCTGCTTCCAGAATTGTGTGGGTATGGAATTTTGTTTAGCCAAATGATAGAGTGGTTATTAGGAATGGKTTTGCTTTATTTTTAAATACAATACTCCACATTCCAGACATTTCTACCAAAGCAGTTTGAAAATGAAAAACAGTGCAAACAATTAAATTTGGGTCTGCTTCTGAAGTGACAAAAAGTACTTAGAATTTTCAGATTTTTGCTCCCTAAAATTATCAAAACTTGGGAGCTAAGTTATGGGGAGATGGTTTAACATCTTATGTTAGAAGTGTGAATTCTATAGCACATTTTGTTCTATGAAAATAAATGCAGATTGTGCTCAGTGCCCAAATAAAGCCTCTGAACTGCTAATTTTCATTTAATGAGGATACAAATGATACTAACCCATAACAAACAATGCTATACTGGCTTAGAAGTATACCAACTTTACATTCCTGCTAAACTTGTTGTAAAATGGTCAAAAGTTGCAGCCATTGAATTATCCTTGCTTCTGATACSTAGTCAAAAATTAATTCAAAGTGTTTGCAATGCATGGCAAGGATTGCTCAGCATGCCACATCCCTCAGCTGCCAAAGGCAAACAAATTCTGGAAAGAAGGTGAGAAAACAAAGTCGAAGACATCCCATATCAGAGTGGGAGAAGTGTTTTTACAGAATAGACAAGCTCATGGTCTGGGGAGGTGGTGTTTCTACAGTGATGCTGCAGAAGATGCCCAGTGCTCACAGGATTCACTCCTTCTTGGAAACAAGAATGTACATAAACATTGTGGAAAGAAACACAATGTTTATGGGGGTTTGCATCTTCCTTTAGATGCAATTTACTGAAACTCAGGAGGCCTCTCCTTAGTGCTGTGGCTTAAGCAAACACCACAGAAACATTCTYTCAAAAGAAAACCAAGCAATATTGTGACACACAATTCATTAAGAGCCCTTGTTTGCATGGTACCTTACGGAAGTAGAGAAGAATTAAATTTCTTGGGTCTTCTACATTAGAGAGGAGAGGTGATAGGAGAGGAGAGGAGCTATTCATACCTTGAATAAGATTGTGCCTGATTTCTGTTTTATTAATTTTGAATGTCCTTTCATTCCTTCTATTTTTGTATTTCAGCCCAGTCCCTGGTTTCCTGTGTGCAGTCTCACTGACTTATTCAAGACATTCTCCTCCAGCATCTGCAGAGACAGCAGAATATCACAATTATCAGATATTGAATGAGATATCCATAGTTATTCAAAGATGGGCCTATAAACTCAGCTACTGAATAAATATGAACTCTTTAAACCTTTCCTTATGCCATAGAGGATGAACTTACACAATTCTATAAGAATTGTTGTTAGGGATTTGAGAGTGATAAGAAGTCTATTTTCCCTTAATTTATTACAATATGATAAGAATGATAGGAAGTTTATTTTCTCTTAATTTATTATAATAACTGTAAGAAATTCTGATAGGTATGCTTTTACTCTATTTTGCCACACAAAATACTCATACCAAAATACTGCAAAGCTTAAGAGCACTGCAGGGAAAATCAAGAAGTCCTGGGGGTTTCTTAAAATCTTCTGGATGACAATCTCAATCAAAGGCAGGAGACTTCCTGAAGCATGGGGCATAGCTAGAGCTCACACTTTTCAGCAATGGTGAAAAGGGGCCATGAGTCCCTCCCTGAGGCACCCAGCTCTGKGTGGGGCACAAGGGACCAGCACCATATTCATCCCTACAGGGTCTCCCAAAGGGAGGGTGCCCAGAAGTTCATCATTGTGGGCCAATTCCACAGCTTCCCAAGTCAAATCTGGACTCTRTTCCCTCCACACGGTTCATGTTGCCTGCTGCCCCAAACATCTCTATTTCCCCCACGCTGTACAAGAACTGTAAGTCTAAACACAGCTGTCAAGTTCTAAAATCAGCATCAAAGCTCAGTAAAAGCAAGAGGGGAAAACAATATGCTTTGTTAAACAATCCTGCCTCAGATCTCAAAGGGTTATGCCRTGAAAGCAATACCCCCTTGGAGTTCTGTATGCAGCCAACATYACCGAACATCCTCAGTCAGAACCCTCAGTTTATGAGGTGATGAGAAAAGAATACAGCTCCCTCTCGTCAGGAGGACATCTCCACTGCCCTGCAGGCAAATTTTCTTGCTGTATTTCAAATGTATTGAATCTCCTAGACATTAGAAAAGTAAAACATGCACTGTGCACTCGGGAGCCATCACCTCTCTTGGTCAGTTCACAGGATTGGCAAGGTCACAGCAAACACTCTTTAACATCATAAGTTCTACCTTTAGGCTGTTTTACTCCTCCACAGGAACCCCAAAGGATTAAAACAGGTTTATCAAACCAGAAATAGAAATATTTATGTTTGGAAACATTGGTATTTCTAAACATTTATCATGTCTTCCCTTTCCCACTGATACTGATTCCCAGTCTTTGAGCCATGTGCAGTRGCTTAAAAGTTACTTCTTAAAGAAAAGAAAAGTTTACCAATGAAATCACCCCACACATATAATTAAGGCTTTCTGCTGCACTACAGGTATTACAGCTACCACTGTGCATGTGTACATATRACATGTATTTATGTATTTGTGTGTTACATAGCCATTTTTTCTACATGAGCCAGCTTTTTCTTTTTTTTTTTTTAGCTTTATAGACATCAAGCTTTTCTGGGAAGGACCTTGAGCCACTGTGTTGGCCCAGAGGCATCAGATCCAGGAACAAAAAATAACGACATTGAATGGAACGAGAGGTTTTACAAACATCCAAAGGAACAGGTGAGTTGCACAACTCTTGACCCTAAAGGGTCTCTAAGTGGTCAAATCAACTTCAGTATTTGCTTGTGTAGCAGAATAGATGCAGCTGCAGCCATGGGAGGAGCAAGAGACATTTTAGGGTAGGAAGAATGTTAGGATTTTAGCTGGTCTTCAATAAAACAAAAGTGGAGGAATAAGGGAAAAGGGATCACTTTTCTCTTGGTACAAAATAGCTACTTTATGGTACCACATTTCAAAGTCTAGTCTAAATGAGCATCCTAGGCCATCAGCCCAATTAATATGATTTGCATATTCCAGAAATATATACACTTTCTCCAAAATTACTCTTTTCATTCACTCCATTTCCAGTCTCTTCACCAGCGAGAGGCTGTGAAATTGAGCTCCCTGGGACTGTTTCCCCGTCTGTGACATCATAACTCAAAGCAGCTTATCTCTGCAAAATGCCTGGAGGTCTGCAGAGGAAAGAAGAAAACACCCTCACCACCCTCACCTCCTCCTCCCAGTGCCTGGGCAGGCTTGTAGCTCTCAGCCTTGCTTTTGCTGTTATGCCCAGTTTGAGCCCAAGGAAATTCCAATGCTCTCCTCTTYCTGAGGCTCCCATTTATTTAAACAGGTGGGACAGGATCACTGTACTTCCCAAAGTGCTGCTGCAGCTGAACCAGCAGCTACAGGTATCAATTAAGAATGTGCAGTGGGACAAGAGAARCACAGCAGCCCTTTCTAGAGCAAACACTGGCAAAGTCAAAAACATCACTCGGATAATTCCATAACTTTCTTAACTCAGAAAACCATCAGCTGGCGTTGTTGCATAAACCCAACAACAATCTTTTCTTTAAGGCTGTCCCACCATTCTATTATCTGTCATTAACTTTCCATATGTTCCCCTCACCACTGCTTTTAGGCTGGGTTCGGTTTACAGGATAGGATCAGATTTCTTTACAAGCCAGGACATTTGCTGGCTTACTAGCTTGAGGCCAGTTATGTTTGAGTGAGGCCCAAGCAAAACAAGGGAGATTTGGTGACGTTCCAGTGAGTAGGCACCAAATCTACATGATCCATGGTTGTTGTTTTTTAAAAGTTTAAAATWTTTTAGGTAGAAGGTTTTCCATTATTTCAGGTTTTTTAAATTTTTTTTTGGTTTTTAGGGTTTTTTAAAMAACAGCTTCTGGCTGATACTTGTTCAAGTGTTGCAGCATCCCTCTTCTTATAATAAATCAGAACTTTTTGTTCTGTTTTCTTTACACTAAGCATAAGGCAGAAGTTTCTCAGTTATCTATATTTTCAGTCACAAATGGGGAAATGCAAAGTATATTTCGGAAAGCGTAGCTGATGAGAAGATGAATAAACCATTTTGTTTCTAGTCTTTCTACAGGATAATGAAGTCTAGTGTTTGCAACTCTTTCTTTCAAAAGCAGTCAGAGTTCATGTGAAACCCTCTAATTCAAATCTGATCTCTAGAAACATTCTTTATGMTGTAACAATGTAAGTCAATTAAAAAAAAAATTAAACTGAAGTGTTCTTCCAACCAAGACTTAAAAATAAAATAAAGTGTACCCATTTAATCACTGATCGTCTAACTATATCCTGGATTATTTAATACCTTTTTTCTCCTTTCTTCTAGATTTATTATTCTCAGCACATCTGAAATGTATTTTAAATGCTTTGGGACAAGGACTATTGTAAACTGCCAAGAATACTTGGGGGCCCTATGGAAATACTAAAGTAGAATTCCAAAAGTAATTTGACACTGGAGGACCTCAAGACCTTCGCAAATCCCCCATTTTATATTTCCCACTGCACATGCACAGAAACCTACAGTAGCAGAACCAGAGCACAGTCCAAATGTGAGACAAAATGAAAATGCCAGTATTATATAGTGTGTTTCAGGCTGAGTCAAACTCACAGCAGCGTGCTAGGAAGCAGTAGTTTGAAAGTGTCTTGAAYGCAAAGGGGTTCTTTCTAAAGTATGTGTCTTGTCTCTCCTTAGCTGGAGCAAAGACATTCCCCATGGTTTTGCTCCATAAATTCCAGCGTGGTGTTACAGATGTTGTAACAGATGTTATATGAATGCTGCACATAAATGTCACAATGTCCATGTTGATATTTTTAGCAGCACTTATCAAGGCAACCAAGCACAGACCCTGTAAAGCTAAGCATTTACATAAACACAGATAAATATTTTGTTCTGGACACAAGCAATGTTTAGGCCCTACATCACTGAAAACTGCAGCTCCTGACTTCCAGGAGCRTGCTTGCATGCTGGGATCCAGAGGTTTGGATCCCAAACAGAAAACTGAGCAGGAGCTGTTCAAGTGAGCCATTAGGAAATACAGAAGGTATTAGAATTAGCTTAAGCCTCTCTGGAATTTAGTCACCTATCTCAACACCATCCTCCTCCACTGCTACCCAGACCTCCTCTACCAAAACAGCAAAGAAGTGGGTGTTGTTGCTGCCAGACTTGCTTTAAGCAGTCAAGTTACAAGCAGAGCACTCCCTTAGACTGCAAGAGAGCTGGGCTCAGTTCCCTTCAGGCCTCTGAATCTGTATTATCCCCACCTGTGCTGAAAACTATCATGCTATAGGATATCCTGCTCTAGAAGGTTCCTCCTTTTCCTACTCTTTTGGCATGCTTACGAAACGAACCTAACCTAAACTGAACATCATACCAAACCTTTTCTTGCTTTTCTCCTTCGTATTTGATATTCTTAGAGGGACACTTTATTAACTATCTGAGGTTATTTGCAAAATAACAGCAAATACTTCTTTAAATACTTTTAACCTAAATTGTGTTGTCCTTTGCTTAAATCCTTATCTTATTTTCAAATTATCCTAAATGTGTTTCCTCACAAAGCAAGTTAGGGTTTGATGAAGGAAAGGTTAAATAAATAATCCAGCACAGCCCTCTCAGAGCCTGGAAGTGTTTAGCACAACCCAGTAGCCCATCCCACCATGCCACGGAGATATCCCCTCTTTTTTATGTTTGCTTTACGATTTATGTCATGGGCAAGAAGGGAAGGAGACAGGAAGAAAACAGCCTCAGTGATGAAATTAAACAGAYCACAGAGGAAAAGGCAGGTTTGCAAGACACTGGCAAAAGTGCAGGTTTTTGGTTATGATGCCATGTAGYAGCTTGGACAGAGAGAATAAAGTGGAGAGAGAAGAGTCCAGATMCTGTCTCACTAAAATCCCTGCAGAGATCAGAACTACTGCAGAACCACCAAAAAACACCGTCAACCACTAAACGTGGAGCTGAATGAGAAAACAGAAAATTAGAGGGGATAGCTGGGAAAGAACAGTCACAGAAGCCAAGAAAGGGCAAGGATTCAAGGAGCTGGTGGGGTGAACAGAGAGAGCAAGTGATAGGTAAAGAAAGATGAGGTTGCAGAATAGACCTGTATCTGGATCAGGAAAACCCCAGTGGGGGATTAACTATACACTAGGGGTTTCTGTGCTTAGATACAAAAAGCTTTACAAGCCAGATTTTTGGCAAAACTTCATGAGTCCCACACTGGAATAATTAAAATAAAAGCTGTTCACTGAAGTTATTTTTGGTGGGCATGTTTGGATCAGAGAGTGGAGTTGTTGAGCAYAGTATAATACATGCCAAAAGCCCTATTATGTGCCTGCCACTGAACCCTGCCATACTTGGAAATGTGTTCAAAAACTGTGGTAGAGAGTCCTTACTGGCTTCACACTTGAAGGACAAACCAGTGCTACACTTTTCAGTCGGAGGTCCTGGGACAATGCTGCCGGAGGTGGGGGCCCTCGCAGGGTTGAATCTGAGCAGGGAGACATTTTCTCTGCAGCAGACCTTGGAGAGGGCAAGGGACTGGTCTAAATGGGCTATTCCTACTCAAAAATAATACATATATATATTCTAGAGTGAAGGGGACATAGGAGTCAACAAAAGGTGACAGCACCATGTTGTTATGCCATCTGTGACCTTGTAGGTGATGAAATGGGGTGCTCATGCCAAACATCCCTTCTCAGCTGAAACAGGCTGCCATACAAGATGGTAAAGCATTAAGACTTACTAGAAAAATGTCACTCCACTCAGGTGAAACATTTTTGTTTTCTTGCAGTGGAGTTCCTCAATGGACCCTGCAGRGAAGTTGGGTGCTTTTCTGAGCGTTCCTTCAGCACAGGCTCCTTTTCCTTGAGAAACYACATGTCGTAAAGTTCCTGTAACTGGAGAGCAACAGAATGCAAAACAATTCCTGWCAAAACAGCCGTGAACCAGAAATTTCAGAGGAGTTGACAGAAGGCACCTTTGGATTAAGGATGTGCCTGGCCCAAGACCTATCACTGTATGGAAAAGTTGTAGACATTTAAGCAAATTCAAACTTCTTTAAACCCGAGCACCAGGTTTAGGGCTTGGAGTGCTTGAAGCAACCCTGAAACATTGCAACAAACAACTGCCACTCTCAGTCTACCAGGGACCACAGCCTCCTGAGAGCAGAAAAACAGAGCACATACCAAATTTCCTAGTGAAACCATACCCACAGTACAACCCTGCTTCTCCCCTGCAGCTGGCACATGACAGCAACTTTTTCCTCAAGAACGTCTCCTTCCTTCAGCACACAGATGACTCACAGCAGGGCAAGCTGCCTTCTTTTTCTGTAAAGGTTTTCTTTCCTTAACACTGGACAATGCAGGTTGATGCTACTGGCCTCAGGCAAATACAGCCTTCCAGACAATAACTTTCCAAATCAGGCTTTTGCTAAAAGAGAAAAATAAATAATCTGAGAAGGTCTTTAAAAATAAAGAGAAGAGATACATACATTTATTTGTTCAAATGGGGGCAGGAAGTTATGCTAGTGGTGGCAATTTGCCAAATTCTTATTTAAGCAGCTTAGAGTCTCCTAGCATTTAACTCAGCCATGAAAGTGTTAACTAGCATGTGTGAGGGCTGAGCGCTTGTGAACTGTTGTATTTCTGTCATCTGAAAGCTAAACACTGGGTTAGGAAAGTCCAAATGGTGGCTTCATCCTCAGAAATGACAGCAGAAAGAAAAATATTTGCACTTTTCCCCCTCTAAAGAGAGGGTTGGATAGGAGAGGCTCTCTCGAGACTCCTTTATTCTCTTGACAGAGATCTGTGCTGCTGAGGCTGCCTGCAGTCACATGTTACCGACACACCAGCTTCTCCTGTCTGGAGCCCACACTGCAAATATCGCTTTTCCCAGAAATCACAATGCTCGTTGGCTTTATTTTGTGAACACCACACTTCCTCTGCTCCCCACCCCAGCAAAATCTCAGGTTACTGCTGTTCAATAGGTCCTCAGAAGCCATACAGCAAAGCTGTCAGAGCTGGGATTTGTCTAGAGTTTGCAAACCAGAGCCAAAGTCTTCCTCCAGCTGCACCTATACAGCTCTGATACACCCTCCGTTGTCATGGAGGTTATTTTGCRGATCAGAAAAAACAATCATCTCAATAACCCCTACTGATCTTTTTTTCTGTCCAACAACTGAATCTGAGACTTCTGGGGCCAATTACGCCTTCCTGAAAATGCAGTCTGGATTCAGACAAACTGTTTTCTCTGACACTGTTTCTCACTATTTTTTAAAAGTAGAAAAACATCTATACAAATAAACTCATTGCTCTCTTTCAAACCTTACCTTAAAATACTCATTTTTGACAATACCCACTTGAAACCCTAACTGCAGGCTTAGGCTGCACTGATCCACAGTGCTGTGCTGATCCACAGAGCTCTATTGGTACTCGTGCCCTTGTCTGTGTTCATCTCCTGACTCCTTTTGCATGTTCAGACTGTGAGCTCTTTAGCAGAGACATGGCTTTTGCCTTTTTTCTCAGTTTGGACAGGAAACAGCACCAACCAAGCAGTGAGCTGATATAAAGGATCAACAGGGAAAAGTTTTGCTTTGCTTATGAAGGGCTGGTGTCTTCATGGCCTGTTGAAGTTTGTTGTGCACAGATAGGAAGAATATTATTTGTACAATAGGCATTAGACATCATTCTGAATTTTAATGTCCAGTGTTCAAAATTAGAAATTACTGTGCATCCTTTGACCTCTTGCTAAAATTTGGAACATCTTAAGAACAGTCTTCTTTCAAAGCTTTTGACATAGGGTCAGGCATAAATACCACTTCCAAATAAATCTTTCCAATTTCTCTCTTTTCAGTTTCTCCTGTCTGGAATGAAGTATTGATTTTGAAGGGCTCAGGGGCTCCAGACTCTGGGCCAGATTCTGTTTTGTTTGGTAGGTCTGTRACCTCATAACAAGTCCACTGACCAAAGCTGAGATCCAGGGGGAGAGAGCAGTGTTTAACACCTTTGTGGGCCCACGCTTTGCTGTATTCTCACCTCTCTCCACAGGCTCTTTAAAACCCAGCGGGTGCTTCCATCAGCTCAGGAGCTGTCTGGAGCCCAGTGGGGGCACCCACACTGGGCAGGGCTCCCTTGTGCTGCCAAGGGGGTGTCAGCAGGGACAGCCCAGCAGCTCCGACACTGTGCCCCTATGACTTGGCAAAGTTGCTGGAGAGAGACTCCCTTCTGCCCTACTCATTTCCATGGGGCAGGAATACGAGGTACTGTGGCAAAAGTTTCCACTGAGTGGGAGATTCCCAAGCTGGGTCTCAATAGGTTTTCATTCCTTGCTAGCAGGGCCTGGGTGCAGTTTACACAGGCTGGCTGATGGGTTCCCACATTGAAACCAGCCAGCCAGTTTGCACAAGCCTCTCTCATTCTGAAATATGTGTAATTTATTTGAGCAGATAGAGAGGATAAGAATCAACTGTCTGTTTCCCAGTTAATAAAAAACATACAATGAGAGCAGAACTCTGCCAGCATATCTTGTTTACCCAAAAATGTTTGGCATTAAATGTGAAATCGGAAATGAACTCATTATCTGATTATTTTCATTTTGAAGAATTAACTGCTTTGGGGAAAAGGCTTGTCTTAAACAGTCCCCTCGTATGGATGACTAATTGCAAATACATATCTCTGAAGAACACAGCAAATGCTCGTGACTCCCAGGGCAGGACAGAGCACTATCAAKTTGGCCAAGAGCACTAGCAGTATCCTCTCATGTGGCTTGTTTCAAAACAGAAGGAAATACATTTAAGCTAGCAGCATCATGCCCAAGCAGGTGAGAAGAGTTTCAAAAGAGGCCACGCTCTGGAATTCTGATCCAGGAAATACTGATAASAAGTGCTTAACAATTACTTGCAGTGGATTTGCCCCTTCCCTGCTGAAAATAAAATTATGCAGCAGTATGGATAGTCATAACTTTTGAGAGGTGAAATTATGTTGAAAACAAGTTCTTTCAGTAATACAAATGAACAAACTTCAACAAAAATTGAGAAACTAGAATCAAATAGCCATCCAGGACTAATAATGTYTTGGGGAAACTTCCCATTCTTCAACAAAACCCAGGCTTAAGAGAGAACTGAGTTCAAGGCAGCACACTGCGCTACATCCCCTTGTTCATCTCCTGCTGTTCCTTTGATTCATTCTCATTTSTTTGATCTCAGCATTCAGTGTTGTCTGGTTAGCCCTCTCTGTAGCTGGTTCAACAGCTGCTGCTCCTTCTAGGGTTGATGAGTGCCTCCTCTGTACTCAAAATCTGTACTTTTTTTTCTTACTGAGGACCGRAGTGAATTTTAGCAGGGGTACTGTGGAGCCCTCCACTGTGTGTCAGCACAGTGCAAGTTAAATGAGCATGTGTTCTCCACTGAATATTTGGCTCTTCTTTTCCTACTCCAACTGAAATATTCCCATCCTCACATGCCCTGTGAGCCTATCTGC